CCGCTGAGCACACGTGACATGAGACACCCGGAAACCTTCTGCGGATTAATAAATACTTGATTCTTAAATGACAGCAAGTTTAGATTATTGGTATTAAAGTAAATTGTTCCTTCTGGGATTAACGGAGATGATTCAGGCGTTAAAAGGTGTGAGACACGTCACGTCCGGTGCGGCGAAGCAAGCAGGTAAAAATGAAAGTTTATTAATTTATAGCTTTGATCGCTGAAAAATATCCTAAAATATTCTATGAAACCAGCATCTAATGGAGCCACAGTTACTGGAAACCAGTTAAATTCAGGAATATATGAGATTGGAGCGGAAATAAAATTCTACTTTCTTTTCTGTTTTTGAAAAGTTTTCATTGCAGAAATAAAACATCAACCTAAAATTTATTTCTTATTAAAACTTCAGGTTTTTTTTTTCTCAGACTTGTTGGTTTTTATGGAAGCGACCTGACCGTTATTTTCTGCTCTGGTTTAGCAGATTTTAATCGGATTATTTGCCTTCAGTGATCAGAAATTATTCCAACATTTCATTTAATCTTTGCTGAAGGTCAAACCAGCAGATTAAATTTGATAATCAGAAGGAATTATGGTAATAATCCTTAAAAAGGCGTTTGATTAAGATAGTTTGGCACCTCTATTAATCTTAATTATTTTATTTCTAAATATTTGGGTGTTTTTAGCAGCTATTTCAGGTTGATAATCTAATGACTGATGGACACGATAATATTTCAGTATTGAATTGATGTTTTTTGGACTAACAGAAAATGTGCAGGACGCATTAAAACAATAAAATTTGACAGATGCAAAAATCTGGGCACCTAAGCAAAAAATAGACATTAATATTTAGCAGATCCTCCTTTTGCGAAAACAACAGCCTCTAGTGCTTCCTGTAGCTTTGAATGAGTTCCTGGATCCTGGATGAAGGGATTTCTGATCGTTCTTCTTTGCAAAACACAGTTAAGTTTGATGGTGGCCGAGCGCGGACATCCTGCTACACATCATCCCACGCGTTCAATGATCTTCAGGTCTGAGGATTAGAACGACCGTTCCAGAACACTCTGCTGGAATGCCTGAGTAGATGTGGATCATTGTTTCGCTGACATATCCGTCCCGGCATAACTTCAACATTATTCTCAAGAATCTCCAGTTGTTGATTAGAATTCAATCCGACCCTCAACTTTAAAGCTGAAGTCTGTAAGTTTTTAAAAATCACTTTTTTGTCATATTGGCTAAAACTGTCTCTATGCCCAGACAGCAATGTGATATGTAACCTGTGAAAAAAACTGCTCTATTGGTCCCGCCTACTGCCTGTATTTCAATCTGGAAAGAATATTTCGGGACGAGTCAAAACAACCAATCACAGCCAGAGGAGCGTCTGATGGAGTGTCAATCACAGCTCCCCCCCCCCCCACTGCTTAACCTGCCGCAGCGCCCGGCTGCGTGGAAGTCATGGCGGAGCGACAGCCACCAGCGAAAGAGAAACTGCCCTTACTGCCCCTGCCGACAACTGCTTACACGGCAAACTTCGGTATAACCAGCATCTTATATCTAGCTGCTTGGAGGTGAGTGTTATCGCTCTTACCGGTTCACACTCCATGCCGCGTACGCTGCTTGGACGCTTCTGGTCGCATGCGGTAGCCGCGCAGGTGCTGTGAGAGGGGTGGGGCTTGGAGGTGGGGCATGAGTGAAGCAGAGAGGGTGGGGGAGTGGCGTGAAACCTGTTTTTCTTCAAATTTTCAGTCGAAGTCTGCTCTCTTCTCAATGTTACAGACTGCAGCTTTAACTGTGCTGATATGCAGAATGTATTCAATGGTAGTTCCAGATATGCCCACTAGGTGGTTCTATTGAGTTATTAATACAAGGTCAACTACTAGAGTAAGGCAGTGGAAGAAGAGATGTAAACAAAGCAAGACGGTTGTTAATGCTGGTTAAGAAGTTAATAAAAGTTGAGCGCATGCTCACTGTGGATCATACTTTGTTTAATGACTGAGTTCTTAAGCAACACTTTAACAAGATTCCCAGATTCCCAACCAAGGACCGTTTGGCTGCAAGTTTTAGAAAGAACCCCAGTGGGCCTCAGCAGATGGCCGCTCACACTGAGCCTGATTCTGCTGGAGGTTTCTTCCTGTTCAAAGGGAGTTTTTCCTCTCCACTGTCGCTACAAGCATGCTTAGTGTGAGGGATTGCTGAAGAGTCAATGAGTCGATGCAATCAGCTGGTTTTCCTTAGATAGAAAACTTTGAATCAGTCTGACTGGATGATCTGGTGAACTGGAAAGTGACCTGAGATGACATGATGTGAATTGGAGCTATAGAAATAAACTGAATAGAATTGAATTGAATTGGAGCTATAGAAATAAACTGAATAGAAAATTGAACCAGACAGTTTCTATCTGCATGTTTTCTAAACAAAAACAAGGCTTTTTGCTCCACCGTATAAAACCTGGAACTAAACGCTATTTCTGACATTTTGACTAGAAAAGGATGGAAGAGAAACGTCTTCAGACTTGGAAACCAAGTCCGTTGGATTGTTTTTAACTTTTTCTTCTAATACCTGTTATAAAATGTTTAAAAAGCAGCTAAAAATTCTTCAGTGTGTATTTTTGTATTTCTCTAATTAGCGATTGAGCGATGAGCCGTTCATGTCTCTCAGCTCACACTGAGCTTTTCTTGCTGCTCCAGTTTCAGAGCTCTGCATCGCGGTGCCATGGGGGGAGATCAGAGGTACAGTCTGGGGTCCTGATCATGGTCGGCCGGTGCTGTGCCTGCATGGCTGGGCTGATAACTGTGGGACGTTCAACGCGCTGCTCCCTTTTCTACCCAAAGGTCAGGTTCTTTTTGTCGTATTTAAATGTTTTCTGTTGCCTGTTTATTCAAACTCGCTGCACTTTTCTTCTTTGGGGCCTTGAAATTATTTTAATCTCTCAAAGTTTGACAGTTAAAGCCAACCATCCCCACAGCATCACACATCTTCCACCTTACTAAACAGTCCACATCAGTTAATTAAAAAAACTACTAATCCTGTTGATTGAGGGAAACGTCCAGACCTGTCATCATGCATGTAGCTCATGTAACCCCCCATGGAGCAGCAGTGTGGTCTCTAGCTACGCTGCAGAGATTCTTCTTCCTTTTTTAACCTGCATGCTAGCAGACCCACCAGTTTCCCACAGCGCCATTTGTTTCCGTTTTAAAGTTTTAAGGTTTGGGTTTAGTGTCACAGAGTGATTCATATTGCGATCAGCCTTTGTTGAACGTTATGCTGTTTGTGAACGTTTAAAGAATGGTCCTTTAGCTTCAATACACCCCTCTGCTATTGGCTGCTAGACTTCCTCACCAACAGACCTCAGTCAGTCCGGGTGAGACAGAACGCCTCTGATGTCATCAGTCTAAGCCCCTCCCCTCAGGGCTGCATCCCCAGGTTCACCACCGATCACATGGTGAAGTTAGCAGACGACACCACGGCGGTGGGCCTCATCAGAGACGACAACGACCTGGACTACAGAGAGGAGGTGGAGCAGCTGGTGGAGCAGAGATAACAGCCTGATCCTGAAGGTGGAGAAGACCAAGGAGATCATGGTGGACTTCAGGAAGAAGCGGCCTAACCACGCTCCACTGCTCATCAACAGCTCAGCTGTAGAGGTGGTCAGCAGCACCACATTCATCACAGACACCCTCACCTGGACTGGAAACACCACCTCACTGGTCCAAAGGGCCCAGAAGCGCTTGGACTTCCTGCCCCCCCCCATCCTCCCCACCTTCTCCAGAAGCACCATAGAGAGCGTTCTGAGCAGCTGTCTCACTGTGTGGTGTGGAGGCTGCAGCGCCTCAGACTGGAAGAAGGTGAGAACAGCAGAGAGGATCATGGGGGCTCCTCTTCCCTCCATTAAAGACATTTCATCCCAGCGCTGCGTGTCCCGAGACATCATCAATGACCCCTCACCCCCCCACCATGGACTGTTCTCCCTGCTGCCCTCTGGGAAGAGGCTTCATTCAATGCAGGACCAGCAGGTTCTGCAGCAGCTTCTTCCCCACCGCCATCACACTGATGACACCAAACCGCTGCATATCTGCATCATAAATATTAATGCTCTAAATTTCCAGATCAGTGCAGGTTTTTTTGCACCATGTTTTTTCTCCTTCACTGTTTACATTTGATCACTGCTGCACTTTAAGGAATGGAAATGTTCATTTCCTGTCTGAAAGCTGTACTAATTATAATTTCTTTTGTCAAAGTCATATTGTTATGCACCTCTCCTGTAACCCATTTCCACTCCCCTCTGAAACCGATCCGTGCTGAGTTCGGGCCAGGCTAGGATCAACCATGCCGGGTTCTGTTTACATGCCACACTAGCATGGTTCCTCTCCTCCTAGTGGCAATCTACGGTACTACTGCTCTCTAGAGAGAAACAAGCAAACCAAAATGGCGGCTCTCGTAACATTCAGGAAGTTTGCAGAGAGTCAGGCGAAGAAGGCAGCCTTTGGTGAATTTCCTTGACAGAGTCGGCTTTTGGGAGGTGGATACGACAAACATTAGTCCTATCAGGGCTTCCAGACGCAGGAAACAACGACAGACGTTGAGGTTTATCACACTGCTAAGCAGAATCCTCACTGGAAATCATGTAGCGCAGTAGGGAAGCTAGTATTTTTACGAATGTCTGAAACTTCCTTATTATGGAGGCTGACTGTAAGGAGATGATTTGGTCTGCTCATGCGCTCTTTGTTATCTGAGAACCGAGCCAGAACTGAACCGCGCCGAGCCCTACTGATGAACTAGTACCAGTTTAGCGCGGTTTGGTTGGGTCTGGCACGGCCTGGTTAATGGCTAGTGTCAGCTGGCTAATGGCTAGTATCAGCTAGCTAAAGACAGCTGGCTAAGGTCAGCTGGCTAATGGCTAGTATCAGCTGGCTAGTATCAGCTGGCTAATGTCAGATGGCTAATGGCTAGTGTCAGCTGGCTAGTATCAGCTGGCTAATGACTAATGACAGCTGGGTAAGGTCAGCTGGCTAATGGCTAGTGTCAGCTGGCTAATGGCCAGTGTCAGTTGGCTAATCACTAATGTCAGCTGGCTAATGGCTAATGTCAGCTGGCTAGTATCATCTGGCTTATGGCTAGTGTCAGCTGGCTAATGTCAGCTCGCTAATGGCTAGTGTCAGCTGGCTAGTAACAGCTGGCTAATGGCTAGAGTCAGCTGGCTAATGACTAATGACAGCTGGCTAATGTCAGCTGGCTAATGGCTAGTGTAAGCTGGCTAATGACTAATGACAGCTGGCTAATGGCTAGTGTAAGCTGGCTAATGACTAATGACAGCTGGCTAATGTCAGCTGGCTAATGGCTAGAGTCAGCTGGCTAATGACTAATGACAGCTGGCTAATGTCAGCTGGCTAATGGCTAGTGTAAGCTGGCTAATGACTAATGACAGCTGGCTAACGTCAGCTGGCTAATGGCTAGAGTCAGCTGGCTAATGACTAATGACAGCTGGCTAATGTCAGCTGGCTAATGGCTATTGTAAGCTGGCTAATGACTAATGACAGCTGGCTAATGTCAGCTGGCTAATGGCTAGAGTCAGCTGGCTAATGACTAATGACAGCTGGCTAATGTCAGCTGGCTAATGGCTAGAGTCAGCTGGCTAATGACTAATGACAGCTGGCTAACGTCAGCTGGCTAATGGCTAGAGTCAGCTGGCTAATGACTAATGACAGCTGGCTAATGGCTAGTGTAAGCTGGCTAATGACTAATGACAGCTGGCTAATGTCAGCTGGCTAATGGCTAGAGTCAGCTGGCTAATGACTAATGACAGCTGGCTAATGTCAGCTGGCTAATGGCTAGTGTCAGCTGGCTAATGACAGCTGGCTAACGTCAGCTGGCTAATGGCTAGAGTCAGCTGGCTAATGACTAATGACAGCTGGCTAATGTCAGCTGGCTAATGGCTAGAGTCAGCTGGCTAATGACTAATGACAGCTGGCTAATGTCAGCTGGCTAATGGCTAGAGTCAGCTGGCTAATGACTAATGACAGCTGGCTAATGTCAGCTGGCTAATGTCAGCTGGCTAATGACTAATGACAGCTGGCTAATGTCAGCTGGCTAATGGCTAGAGTCAGCTGGCTAATGACTAATGACAGCTGGCTAATGTCAGCTGGCTAATGGCTAGAGTCAGCTGGCTAATGACTAATGACAGCTGGCTAACGTCAGCTGGCTAATGGCTAGAGTCAGCTGGCTAATGACTAATGACAGCTGGCTAATGTCAGCTGGCTAATGGCTAGAGTCAGCTGGCTAATGACTAATGACAGCTGGCTAATGTCAGCTGGCTAATGGCTAGAGTCAGCTGGCTAATGTCAGCTGGCTAATGTCAGCTGGCTAATGACTAATGACAGCTGGCTAATGTCAGCTGGCTAATGACTAATGACAGCTGGCTAATGTCAGCTGGCTAATGGCTAGTGTCAGCTGGCTAATGTCAAATGGCTAATATCAGCTGGCTAATGGCTAGAGTCAGCTGGCTAATGACTAATGACAGCTGGCTAATGTCAGCTGGCTAATGGCTAGTGTCAGCTGGCTAATGTCAAATGGCTAATATCAGCTGGCTAATGGCTAGAGTCAGCTGGCTAATGACTAATGACAGCTGGCTAATGTCAGCTGGCTAATGGCTAGAGTCAGCTGGCTAATGACTAATGACAGCTGGCTAATGTCAGCTGGCTAATGGCTAGAGTCAGCTGGCTAATGTCAGCTGGCTAATGTCAGCTGGCTAATGACTAATGACAGCTGGCTAATGTCAGCTGGCTAATGGCTAGTGTCAGCTGGCTAATGTCAGCTGGCTAATGACTAATGACAGCTGGCTAATGTCAGCTGGCTAATGGCTAGTGTCAGCTGGCTAATGTCAAATGGCTAATATCAGCTGAGATGTCGGTCCCCAATGCCCAAAATTAATATCAATGTTTATGGCCCAACAGTATTGATAAACCACAGAAACTGAAAGTCACAAAATATAAAAACCTTTTAATCCTCTAAGTATAGGAAAGCGGTTTTATGAACATGGTTACCCATTCAATGGAATGGTTGTTAGACGCCTGGACCAGGAAGGACGATAACTGATGACTACAGTAACGGCTACAGCCTGTTTTCCTTCCTCAGACTTCAGGTACGTCGCGGTGGACTTGCCCGGTCACGGCTGCTCATCCCATCGTCCTCCTGGAGTTCTCTATGCCTTCCCTTCTTACGTGTTGGACGTGCGCAGAGTGGTTGATGGTGGGTGATGCATTGGATTCCTTTGAGTAGAATCTAGCTTCATTTAATAAATTGGGCTCCATTAGGTGGTAGACTCAGTGATGATATTTCCTCCCCACAGCGCTGCAGTGGAGCAGGTTCTCCATCATCGGCCACAGCATGGGTGAGTGATGCACTGATCCTGTGATCTGCAGATGTTCTTGGAAGGACCTTCATGACTTCTCTTTGTGTTTCAGGTGGAAACATAGCTGGAATGGTGAGTCCAGAAGCTGAAGTTGTTTTCTCCCATTACATGGGGAAGCATGGCAGTAACTGCATCATGCTGTGGGGAGTCCTTTTGAGACAAGTTTAGACATGATTGATGGTGGGGGGGTGGGGGCTGAGGTGGAGTGACCTCCCCAGCAGGAAGGAGACGTCGCTGATAAGGCGCTGTCTTTTTAAATGCATCTGTTTGTCTTTACGGAGCTAGTGGCTCGTTTTTATGGACAGTAAGCTGACAGGAAGGGGGGGGGGGGGGGGGACATGCGGGAAAAGACCAAAGGCTGGATTCGAACCCAAGGCAAACGATGACTAAGGCCTCCAAACGTGGGTCTTATGCACTAACCGCTGCGCCACCAAAGCACGCCCCGCTACGTCTAACTTCTAATTAAAATGACAAATTTCTGCTCCGTTTGTCAATAAAGTTTCTGTTGAATCAATTCCAGACGTATGAAGGACTGAGAATCAGTTAAGGAATGCAGGACAAACCCTTCTGAGAGAGGAGATGGAATAAATGGACGTTAGCACAGAGAGAGCATTAGCGCTGTGAATGTTGCTGTAGTTCAGACTGTTCAGCATCTGTTTGCTGTTTTCTACAGTTCAGCGCTCTGTATCCTGAGATGGTGGACGCCGTGGTGCTGCTGGACTCCTACGGGTTCATACCTACTGATCCGGTATGTTTACCGACCCGCAGCAACCTTCTCCATTTACTCAGAACTCAGAACCTCAGAAAATAGGACATGATGTTTGTACGGTTAGGAAACAGAGCAGGAAGCTCCATGTTTGAAATAATCCCTAATAATCTGTGTGATGATTCAGGATTTAATCCTTATTAAGGAGGCTGGATATGATGGAGGGGAATCAGCTGATATGTTTATTTATTTCCTTTTTCTCCAATTACTGTGAAGCTTAATAAGCAAATCTTTAGTTTTAGTAAACTGCAGCAGCATCTCTCCTGTTTACCTGCGGCTGCTTTTCTATTGATTGTAAAGATGAATGACTTCCGTAAAAAGGAAGGAAATTATGAATTATAGACGAAAACGCAAGATATCCAGACTGATCATCTGAACACGTTTTTAATTAGCTACGAACAAACAGACTTCTGGTGAAGGTTCTTCCTCATTTTGATGTACAGTGGTGTAAAAAAGTGATCACCCACTTAGCTAAATCACTAACTGGCTACGATCAACCATCCATCCATTATCTGGCACGCTTGTCCCAGTTGGGTTGGCGAGGGGTGCTGGTGTCTATCTCCAGCTGTCAGTGGGCGGGAGGCGGGGTCCATCCTGGGCAGGTCGCCAGTCCATCGCTGTGGCTTCAATCAACCGCTTCAAATTAGAATTTTACCAGCAATACCTGCTGATTATTGGGGGACATGCAGGGCTGAGCAATCAGCTGGTAGATTCAACTATTTCAAAAAGGGAAATATTCATGCAAAATGTTGATTAAAGGGTCTATATCATGCAAATAATTATCTGAGCTTTTAATTCTGATATTTCCTTCCTGCCTAAAGCAGCACCTGGAACAACAGGCCCACAGCAGCAAAGGGCCGTCACCTCTGCTCAGTGATGGCAGTGTGGTGATGTGGGCCTGCTGTGCTGCTTTACCATGAAGTCAGTTTGGTGAACAGCAGGAAAATCAAGTAAAGTACCAAAGCTTCAGAGGGAAAAAAGGTTTTGAGTTGGCCTAGTCAAAGTCCAGATCTGATCCAGATGTTTTGGTAGAACCTTAAAAGGTTTTCATATCAGCAATACATCAATCAACTGTGCTTAAAGAGTCCCCCCCCCCCTCAGCTGGAAATTATTCTGGATTATTTTAAAACAGCGTTTGGTTATTCTCTGTTTGATTGTTGATCTGATATCTGACACCAAGAAAAGGATAAATATTTGTTTTTAAGGATCATTTCCATGAACTTTCAGAAAGAAATGCCTGGAATACTACGGCAGGGGATGGATGAGATGATCCAGTTTGAAAAGAAGATGGAGGGCATGAAGGGGCGAGTTTACACCTATGAAAAGGCTGTTGAAAGGTAAAACCCGCCTGTTTCATCTGTAACTGGATTCTTTCTAACCGTCATGGAGGTTCTTCCTGTGTGTCACCATCCAGGCTTTTGGCTGCTAACCCAAGTCTGGGTGAAGCGTCTGCAAAGATCCTCTTAGAGCGAGGTCTGGTCCAGGTGGACGGAGGTAAATCAGTGCTTCATATTCCCACCTTCTTCTTCTCTTTGACTATTTGAGCTGATGGACGGAGTACATTTCTGCACTGTGAGATCAATAAAGTCAATCAATCAATCAATCAATCAATCAATCAATCAATCAATCAATCAATCAATTAATAAAGTCAATCAATCAATCAATCAATCTTCCCCCTTAGAGTCTCTTTTGCTTTTTCTGCTCCATTCCTGATGGATCTTTCTGTCTGTTGCAGGAGTGACGTTCTCCAGAGACTTTCGCATCAACCTGGTAGGCGAGCGAGCTGCAGTCTGTCTATGGCCAGCAGTCTGTCTATGGCCAGCAGTCTGTCTATGGCCAGCAGTCTGCCAGCAGTCTGTCTATGGCCAGCAGTCTGTCTATGGCCAGCAGTCTGTCTGTGGCCAGCAGGGTCAAAAGTTCACACATTTGTTACTTCAGTAGAAGTTTAGATCCTGCAGTTTAAAAACACTCTGGTAAAAGTTAAAGTATCAACTTGACCTCTTTACTAAAGTAAAAGTGAAAAAGTATGCGCTCCACAAACTACTTAAAGTATAAAAGTATAAAGTAACCTTTAATAAAAACAGCCAGATGCCGCTATATGAACTGAAAGCTCTATTTCTATAATCCTCTGAGATAGGGCCAAGGATGAGGGAGGTCTGGTTGGTCTCCGTCTCCCGATACGCTCTCGCCTGTGTCCGACCTTTCAGACATTTCAACATCTTTTTCTGAATCCCACATTGTAGCATGGCATAGACAATTCACGTTAGCAGTTTGAAGAACACCTGCTGGCTTCTGATGATTTCCTTTAGCTAACCAATGAGTGTTTGCGTTCTATGACTCATCCAATCACACTAGTTTTCACTAGATGTGGGTGGAGCCAATCATCTGCATTGGATGGAGCACATGACGGGAAATAAAGATTTATAAACATTAAACCGAAGCCAAGAGGAACGAGGAACGATTGATTTAAAAATGTAAGGAATAGAAAGAACAGATACTGGTGTGAAAATGAGTAGAAGTCAGAAGTAGGAAGAAAAGTAAGCAATGGAGTAAAGTAGAGATACCTAAAAGTGTACTTAAGTACAGTAATGAAGTATTTGTACTTTGTTACTTGACACCTTTGTCTATGGCCAGCAGTCACTCTGCCTATGGCCAGTGGTCTGCAATGGCCAGCGGTCTGTCTATGGCCAGCAGTCAGTCTGCCTATGGCCAGCGGTCTGCCTATGGCCAGCGGTCTGCAATGGCCAGCGGTCTGTCTATGGCCAGCGGTCTGCAATGGCCAGCGGTCTGTCTATAGCCAGCGGTCTGCAGTGGCCAGCGGTCTGTCTATGGCCAGCAGTCACTCTGCCTATGGCCAGCGGTCTGCAATGGCCAGCGGTCTGCCTATGGCCAGCAGTCACTCTGTCTATGGCCAGCGGTCTGCAATGGCCAGCGGTCTGCCTATGGCCAGCAGTCACTCTGCCTATGGCCAGCGGTCTGCAATGGCCAGCGGTCTGCCTATGGCCAGCAGTCACTCTGCCTATGGCCAGCGGTCTGCAATGGCCAGCGGTCTGCCTATGGCCAGCAGTCTGTCTATGGCCAGCAGTCTGTCTATGGCCAGCGGTCTGTCTATGGCCAGCTGTCTATGGCCAGCAGTCTGTCTATGGCCAGCAGTCTGTCTGTGGCCAGCAGGGTCAAAAGTTCACACATTTGTTACTTCAGTAGAAGTTTAGATCCTGCAGTTTAAAAACACTCTGGTAAAAGTTAAAGTATCAACTTGACCTCTTTACTAAAGTAAAAGTGAAAAAGTATGCGCTCCACAAACTACTTAAAGTATAAAAGTATAAAGTAACCTTTAATAAAAACAGCCAGATGCCGCTATATGAACTGAAAGCTCTATTTCTATAAATCCTCTGAGATAGGGCCGAGGATGAGGGAGGTCTTGTTGGTCTCCGTCTCCCGATACGCTCTCGCCTGTGTCCGACCTTTCAGACATTTCAACATCTTTTTCTGAATCCCACATTGTAGCATGGCATAGACAATTCACGTTAGCAGTTTGAAGAACACCTGCTGGCTTCTGATGATTTCCTTTAGCTAACCAATGAGTGTTTGCGTTCTATGACTCATCCAATCACACTAGTTTTCACTAGATGTGGGTGGAGCCAATCATCTGCATTGGATGGAGCACATGACGGGAAATAAAGATTTATAAACATTAAACCGAAGCCAAGAGGAACGAGGAACGATTGATTTAAAAATGTAAGGAATAGAAAGAACAGATACTGGTGTGAAAATGAGTAGAAGTCAGAAGTAGGAAGAAAAATAAGTAATGGAGTAAAGTATAGATACCTAAAAGTTTACTCAAGTACAGTAAGGAAGTATTTGTACTTTGTTACTTGACACCTTTGTCTATGGCCAGCAGTCACTCTGCCTATGGCCAGCGGTCTGCAATGGCCAGCGGTCTGTCTATGGCCAGCAGTCAGTCTGCCTATGGCCAGCGGTCTGCCTATGGCCAGCGGTCTGCAATGGCCAGCGGTCTGTCTATGGCCAGCGGTCTGTCTATGGCCAGCGGTCTGCAATGGCCAGCGGTCTGTCTATAGCCAGCGGTCTGCAGTGGCCAGCGGTCTGTCTATGGCCAGCAGTCACTCTGCCTATGGCCAGCGGTCTGCAATGGCCAGCGGTCTGCCTGTGGCCAGCAGTCACTCTGCCTATGGCCAGCGGTCTGCAATGGCCAGCGGTCTGCCTATGGCCAGCAGTCACTCTGCCTATGGCCAGCGGTCTGCAATGGCCAGCGGTCTGCCTATGGCCAGCAGTCACTCTGCCTATGGCCAGCGGTCTGCAATGGCCAGCGGTCTGCCTATGGCCAGCAGTCTGTCTATGGCCAGCAGTCTGTCTGTGGCCAGCAGGGTCAAAAGTTCACACATTTGTTACTTCAGTAGAAGTTTAGATCCTGCAGTTTAAAAACACTCTGGTAAAAGTTAAAGTATCAACTTGACCTCTTTACTAAAGTAAAAGTGAAAAAGTATGTGCTCCACAAACTACTTAAAGTATAAAAGTATAAAGTAACCTTTAATAAAAACAGCCAGATGCCGCTATATGAACTGAAAGCTCTATTTCTATAATCCTCTGAGATAGGGCCAAGGATGAGGGAGGTCTGGTTGGTCTCCGTCTCCCGATACGCTCTCGCCTGTGTCCGACCTTTCAGACATTTCAACATCTTTTTCTGAATCCCACATTGTAGCATGGCATAGACAATTCACGTTAGCAGTTTGAAGAACACCTGCTGGCTTCTGATGATTTCCTTTAGCTAACCAATGAGTGTTTGCGTTCTATGACTCATCCAATCACACTAGTTTTCACTAGATGTGGGTGGAGCCAATCATCTGCATTGGATGGAGCACATGACGGGAAATAAAGATTTATAAACATTAAACCGAAGCCAAGAGGAACGAGGAACGATTGATTTAAAAATGTAAGGAATAGAAAGAACAGATACTGGTGTGAAAATGAGTAGAAGTCAGAAGTAGGAAGAAAAGTAAGCAATGGAGTAAAGTAGAGATACCTAAAAGTGTACTTAAGTACAGTAATGAAGTATTTGTACTTTGTTACTTGACACCTTTGTCTATGGCCAGCAGTCACTCTGCCTATGGCCAGCGGTCTGCAATGGCCAGCGGTCTGTCTATGGCCAGCAGTCAGTCTGCCTATGGCCAGCGGTCTGCAATGGCCAGCGGTCTGTCTATGGCCAGCAGTCAGTCTGCCTATGGCCAGCGGTCTGCCTATGGCCAGCAGTCACTCTGCCTATGGCCAGCGGTCTGCAATGGCCAGCGGTCTGTCTATGGCCAGCAGTCAGTCTGCCTATGGCCAGCGGTCTGCCTATGGCCAGCAGTCACTCTGCCTATGGCCAGCGGTCTGCAATGGCCAGCGGTCTGTCTATGGCCAGCAGTCAGTCTGCCTATGGCCAGCGGTCTGCCTATGGCCAGCGGTCTGCCTATGGCCAGCGGTCTGTCTATGGCCAGCGGTCTGCAATGGCCAGCGGTCTGTCTATGGCCAGCAGTCACTCTGCCTATGGCCAGCGGTCTGCAATGGCCAGCGGTCTGTCTATGGCCAGCGGTCTGCAATGGCCAGCGGTCTGTATGGCCAGCAGTCACTCTGCCTATGGCCAGCGGTCTGCAATGGCCAGCGGTCTGTCTATGGCCAGCAGTCACTCTGCCTATGGCCAGCAGTCTGCAATGGCCAGCGGTCTGCCTATGGTCAGCAGTCAGTCTGCCTATGGCCAGCGGTCTGCCTATGGCCAGCAGTCAGTCTGCCTATGGCCAGCGGTCTGCCTATGGCCAGCGGTCTGCCTATGGCCAGCAGTCAGTCTGCCTATGGCCAGCGGTTTGCCTATGGCCAAAAAGTCAGTCTGCCTATGACCAGCGGTCTGCCTATGGCCAGCGGTCTGCCTATGGCCAGCAGTCACTCTGCCTATGGCCAGCGGTCTGCCTATGGCCAGCAGTCAGTCTGCCTATGGCCAGCAGTCACTCTGCCTATGGCCAGCGGTCTGTCTATGGTCAGCAGTCAGTCTGCCTATGGTCAGCAGTCAGTCTGCCTATGGCCAGCGGTCTGCCTATGGCCAGCGGTCTGCCTATGGCCAGCGGTCTGTCTATGGCCAGCGGTCTGCAATGGCCAGCGGTCTGTCTATGGCCAGCAGTCACTCTGCCTATGGCCAGCGGTCTGCAATGGCCAGCGGTCTGTCTATGGCCAGCAGTCACTCTGCCTATGGCCAGCGGTCTGCAATGGCCAGCGGTCTGCCTATGGTCAGCAGTCAGTCTGCCTATGGCCAGCGGTCTGCCTATGGCCAGCAGTCTGCCTATGGCCAGCTGTCTGCCTACGGCAAGCGGTCTGCCTATGGCCAGCGGTCTGCCTACGGCAAGCGGTCTGTCTACGGCAAGCGGTCTGTCTACGGCCAGCGGTCTGCCTTTGGCCAGCGGTCTGTTGGCTAGTGGTCTACCTGTGGCTAGTGGTCTACCTGTGGCTAGTGGTCTACCTATGGCCAGCGGTCTGTCTACGACCAGCGGTCTGCATGTGGCTAGTGGTCTGCCTATGGCTAGTGGTCTACCTGTGGCTAGCGGTCTACCTGTGGCCAGCGGTCTACCTGTGGCCAGCGGTCTACCTGTGGCCAGCGGTCTGTCTGTGGCTAGGGTCTACCTGTGGCTAGCGGTCTACCTGTGGCTAGCGGTCTACCTGTGGCCAGCGGTCTGTCTGTGGCTAGCGGTCTACCTGTGGCCAGCGGTCTACCTGTGGCCAGCGGTCTGTCTGTGGCTAGCGGTCTACCTGTGGCTAGCGGTCTACCTGTGGCCAGCGGTCTACCTGTGGCTAGTGGTCTACCTGTGGCTAGTGGTCTACCTGTGGCTAGTGGTCTACCTGTGGCCAGCGGTCTACCTGTGGCTAGTGGTCTACCTGTGGCTAGTGGTCTACCTGTGGCTAGTGGTCTACCTGTGGCCAGCGGTCTACCTGTGGCTAGCGGTCTACCTGTGGCTAGTGGTCTGCCTGTGGCCAGCGGTCTACCTGTGGCCAGCGGTCTACCTGTGGCTAGCGGTCTACCTGTGGCTAGCGGTCTACCTGTGGCTAGCGGTCTACCTGTGGCCAGCGGTCTGTCTGTGGCTAGTGGTCTACCTGTGGCTAGTGGTCTACCTGTGGCTAGTGGTCTACCTGTGGCCAGCGGTCTACCTGTGGCTAGCGGTCTACCTGTGGCTAGCGGTCTACCTGTGGCTAGTGGTCTACCTGTGGCCAGCGGTCTACCTGTGGCTAGCGGTCTACCTGTGGCCAGCGGTCTACTTGTGGCCAGCGGTCTGTCTGTGGCTAGTTGTCTACCTATGGCCAGTGGTCTACCTGTGGCCAGTGGTCTACCTGTGGCCAGTGGTCTACCTGTGGCCAGCGGTCTGTCTGTGGCTAGTTGTCTACCTATGGCCAGTGGTCTACCTGTGGCCAGTGGTCTACCTGTGGCTAGCGGTCTGTCTGTGGCTAGTTGTCTACCTATGGCTAGTTGTCTACCTATGGCTAGTGGTCTACCTGTGGCCAGTGGTCTACCTGTGGCTAGCGGTCTGTCTGTGGCTAGTTGTCTACCTATGGCTAGTTGTCTACCTATGGCTAGTTGTCTACCTGTGGCCAGCGGTCTGTCTGTGGCTAGTTGTCTACCTGTGGCCAGTGGTCTACCTGTGGCCAGTGGTCTACCTGTGGCTAGCGGTCTATCTGTGGCTAGTTGTCTACCTATGGCTAGTTGTCTACCTATGGCTAGTGGTCTACCTGTGGCCAGTGGTCTACCTGTGGCTAGCGGTCTGTCTGTGGCTAGTTGTCTACCTATGGCTAGTTGTCTACCTATGGCTAGTTGTCTACCTGTGGCCAGCGGTCTGTCTGTGGCTAGTTGTCTACCTATGGCCAGTGGTCTACCTGTGGCCAGTGGTCTACCTGTGGCTAGCGGTCTGTCTGTGGCTAGTTGTCTATCTATGGCTAGTTGTCTACCTATGGCTAGTGGTCTACCTGTGGCCAGTGGTCTACCTGTGGCTAGCGGTCTGTCTGTGGCTAGTTGTCTACCTATGGCTAGTTGTCTACCTATGGCTAGTTGTCTACCTGTGGCCAGCGGTCTGTCTGTGGCTAGTTGTCTACCTATGGCCAGTGGTCTACCTGTGGCCAGTGGTCTACCTGTGGCTAGCGGTCTGTCTGTGGCTAGTTGTCTACCTATGGCTAGTTGTCTACCTATGGCTAGTTGTCTACCTGTGGCCAGTGGTCTACCTGTGGCCAGAGGTCTACCTGTGGCCAGTGGTCTACCTGTGGCTAGCGGTCTACCTGTGGCTAGTGGTCTACCTGTGGCTAGCGGTCTACCTGTGGCTAGTGGTCTACCTGTGGCCAGCGGTCTGTCTGTGGCTAGTTGTCTACCTATGGCTAGTGGTCTACCTGTGGCTAGTGGTCTACCTGTGGCCAGCGGTCTGTCTGTGGCTAGTTGTCTACCTATGGCTAGTGGTCTACCTGTGGCCAGCGGTCTACCTGTGGCTAGTGGTCTACCTGTGGCTAGCGGTCTACCTGTGGCCAGCGGTCTACCTGTGGCCAGCGGTCTGTCTGTGGCTAGTTGTCTACCTATGGCCAGCGGTCTACCTGTGGCTAGTTGTCTACCTGTGGCCAGCGGTCTACCTGTGGCTAGTGGTCTACCTGTGGCTAGTGGTCTACCTGTGGCTAGTTGTCTACCTATGGCCAGCGGTCTACCTGTGGCTAGTGGTCTACCTGTGGCCAGCGGTCTACCTGTGGCTAGTGGTCTACCTGTGGCTAGTGGTCTACCTGTGGCTAGTGGTCTACCTGTGGCTAGTGGTCTACCTGTGGCTAGCGGTCTACCTGTGGCCAGCGGTCTACTTGTGGCCAGCGGTCTACCTGTGGCCAGCGGTCTACCAGTGGCTAGTGGTCTACCTGTGGCCAGTGGTCTACCTGTGGCTAGTGGTCTACCTGTGGCCAGCGGTCTACCTGTGGCCAGTGGTCTACCTGTGGCCAGTGGTCTACCTGTGGCCAGCGGTCTGCCTGTGGCCAGCGGTCTACCTGTGGCTAGTGGTCTACCTGTGGCCAGCGGTCTACCTGTGGCCAGCGGTCTGTCTACGGCCAGCGGTCTACCTGTGGCTAGCGGTCTACCTGTGGCCAGCGGTCTACCTGTGGCCAGCGGTCTGCCTGTGGCCAGTGGTCTACCTGTGGCCAGCGGTCTACCTGTGGCTAGTGGTCTACCTGTGGCCAGCGGTCTGTCTGTGGCTAGTTGTCTACCTATGGCTAGTGGTCTACCTGTGGCTAGTGGTCTACCTGTGGCCAGCGGTCTGTCTGTGGCTAGTTGTCTACCTATGGCTAGTGGTCTACCTGTGGCTAGTGGTCTACCTGTGGCCAGCGGTCTGTCTGTGGCTAGTTGTCTACCTATGGCTAGTGGTCTACCTGTGGCCAGCGGTCTACCTGTGGCCAGCGGTCTACCTGTGGCCAGCGGTCTACCTGTGGCCAGCGGTCTACCTGTGGCCAGCGGTCTGCCTGTGGCCAGCGGTCTGCCTGTGGCCAGCGGTCTACCTGTGGCCAGCGGTCTGCCTGTGGCTAGCGGTCTACCTGTGGCCAGCGGTCTACCTGTGGCCAGCGGTCTACCTGTGGCTAGCGGTCTACCTGTGGCCAGCGGTCTACCTGTGGCCAGCGGTCTACTTGTGGCCAGCGGTCTACCTGTGGCCAGTGGTCTACCTGTGGCCAGTGGTCTACCTGTGGCCAGCGGTCTACCTGTGGCCAGTGGTCTACCTGTGGCCAGCGGTCTACCTGTGGCCAGCGGTCTACCTGTGGCCAGCGGTCTACTTGTGGCCAGCGGTCTGCCTGTGGCCAGCGGTCTACCTGTGGCTAGTGGTCTACCTGTGGCTAGTGGTCTACCTGTGGCTAGCGGTCTGTCTGTGGCTAGCGGTCTACCTGTGGCCAGCGGTCTACCTGTGGCCAGTGGTCTACCTGTGGCCAGCGGTCTACCTGTGGCTAGTGGTCTACCTGTGGCTAGTGGTCTACCTGTGGCTAGCGGTCTGTCTGTGGCTAGCGGTCTACCTGTGGCCAGCGGTCTACCTGTGGCTAGCGGTTTACCTGTGGCCAGCGGTCTACCTGTGGCTAGCTGTCTGTCTACGGCCAGCGGTCTACCTGTGGCTAGCGGTTTACCTGTGGCCAGCGGTCTACCTGTGGCTAGCGGTCTGTCTACGGCCAGCGGTCTACCTGTGGCTAGCGGTTTACCTGTGGCTAGTGGTCTACCTGTGGCTAGCGGTCTACCTGTGGCTAGCGGTCTACCTGTGGCTAGCGGTCTACCTGTGGCTAGTGGTCTACCTGTGGCTAGTGGTCTACCTGTGGCCAGTGGTCTACCTGTGGCCAGCGGTCTACCTGTGGCTAGTGGTCTGTCTGTGGCTAGTGGTCTGTCTGTGGCTGCTGGCCGTTCAGTAACTTCTGTTTTCTGTGTTTCTTTCCTTTTTAGAAGAACATTTCTCGCCTCAGTCTGGAACAGAGTCTGGAGCTGCAGTCCAAGATTGAAGCTTCTGTCCTTGTTGTTCTGTGAGCTGTTGTTCCGTTTGTCCGATTCCCCCTGAATGCATCACACTGAATGATTTGCTTTATTTCTTCCAACAGAGCAGAAGGTGGATTTGAGAAAATATTTACAGACGGTGACAAGAAGAAATTTACATCGACTCTTCTTCAGGCCTACAGGGATAGAAATGTGAGTCCATTCCTCCTTCCCAGTCAGACCAGAGCTTTGCTTCCCAGTCTTTACTGGTGTGCTCTGCATGTTTGTTTGTTTCAACAGTAATTTAAGAAATCTGATAACTTCATTTTTATTTTTTGACCAACGATTTTGCGGATCAATAAACACCAAAGCAAACATCTAATTAGAGGCACTGATGACGATGAAGGCAGTTAGTTTAACTACAAACCAGCTCCTGAAATGGAACGATGTCTCTGCTGAGTCCGCAGACAAACCTTTCTTACCTCTAACATCTAAATCAGAACAAATTCCTTTCTTTGACAGAAAGTTTGATAAAAGCTGAGATATGGGTTCAGCTTTTAACACTCCAGTCTGTTTTCTCTGTTCTCTCCAAACAGAGAAAATGTCTTTTAGCACCGATCAGATGCTAACTGTGGTTAGCGTTGAGCTTAATTGGGTGATTCCTCGTTAGTGAAGCTCGATGGAAATCAGCCGAAGTTCAAACGACGCTTCAGAGACGTTTTGGCAGCAGGTTGCTAAAATGTTTATTCCAACAGACATGGGAGGAAAATGTGCTTAAAATGGGGTTTCTGCAGCTTTACACATAAAAATCAGCTTTATGGACCGAGTTCAGGATCAGTTTGACAACTTTTAACGCCACAGGTTATGTTAGCGAGATCCTGGGAAATGGAAAACTCCACCACTTCCTGAACAGAGCAGCTCTGTCTCCATCACTGGATGAACCCAGGTGTGTGTTGCCATGGTTACTGAGCTGCGCACACCTGGATTCATCAGTTCATTCATTAGAAGAAGACTGGGAACCAAAGAGCTGTTCTGCTCAGGAAGCGGAGGATTGTGCATAGAGCTCATTGTTGCCACCAAACTGGGAAGATTTTATTTTTCCTCCGTTAATTAAAAAGCTTTGCTAAAAAGTCATAAGTCTAATTTTTTCTGTCACTTGAACACGTGGCTCTGCAGCCTGTGGGAAAAATGGAGATCAGACTCGTTAAGAGCAGCTGAGAAATGTGTCGTTATTTTAGAAAACAACATGGAAAAACGGTCTGCCACGCAGTGCATTGTGGGTAACCGTATAGCTGGTAGCCAAGGCTAGGGAGGTCAGGAGGCCGCCATGTTGGCTGCCTCGGTGCTGCTGCTTCCTAACTGCCAGCACTATTCAGAGGTTCCTCTCCTTGCTGACTTCAGGTGTTTGGATCAAAGCCGTTCCTCCAACGTTTGTTCTTCTGTTTCAGAACACGGTGGTGAAGGTTCCAGGTGATCATCACGTCCACCTAAACAATCCTGAAGTGGTGGCGCCGCTGGTGTCCGAGTTCCTGCAGAACAAAGCGCTCTCGCCGTCAGCAGGATCCGCAGACGTCACTTCCCCCAAGTTATAGTGAAGATGCCAGAAAACCAAGCGTGTCTTCTTGCTAACTAATGTGCATTAATGCAGCTTGGTGCCTAAAATCATCCTGTTGATTTGCATAAAACATGATTTGATGTTCCTGAACTAAAAGTGCCGAAAGCTTCCGCTTTATGAACAAACTCAAAGATCAGATCAGCGTCTGAGAAAAACATCATTAACTCTGAAATCTAATCAAGTTAAGCTGCTATTTTCCCTTTTATGGGATTTTTAATGTTAAAGAAGCTTTTCTAGTTTTGGAGTCATAAGAAATAAATAATAAATGAAAGTGTGTGTGTGTGTGTTTGGGGGGGGGGGTGGATCATGTCGTTCAATAAAGTGGTTAACGGTGAGATAGAACTAAGACACAGAGTGGCTGTATTACTTCATTTAGTTGGCAGTGATGAACATCATATCAGGGCTTATAAAGTTGGTAAAGGATCTATAAAACTAGATTCAATACGAAGCCTTTTATCTCCTTTATTCTGTAACTCGTTATGCGACTGAACCTGTTGTCAGTTTGAACATTTCTACTGAATGAGAGCGATCTATGTAGATCTGGTTGATTAAATGATGACTCCTCTAATCTCTATAAATTAGGCCGACGCTCCGTCCAACCTGCTTCTCTGTTTAAAACGCTACTAAAGGTGAGTCTGAATCCGTCTCCATGACGACCAACAATTAGTTTAACTTTCTTTTGCTTAAAATCCAACATTATTATTTATAAATTTATACACAAGTCTTGCAGAAAGACATTTTTTTCTTTTATGTTTGTGTTAAAGAATAATGAACCTGATCATCAGTGGGAGGATTTTCTGTATCCGTAGGTTTCTCTCCAGGTACTCTGGCTTCAGTCAGAACGGGGGCCTCAGCCAGGGGTGAAAGCAGCCTTGGATGTCAGGGAGCTGTGATCCACTGGGTTGGTTTTTAAATCTTTATTTTAAAATTGTATTTGGAAAAAAGCAAATAAAATTACAGTATTATTAGTAATGGATTCCTGAATAATAAAGGTGGGTGGGGCTTTCTGGGGAACCCGGGCCCCCTGAGGGCCCCACAGGTGCTTTTAAACATGACCTTAAAATCCACTTTTTAGTAGAGCTTTTAATTGAACTATTTCCCCAATTTCTTTATTTTATTTTATATTTTTTTTACTTATTGTCTTTGATTTTATTTTTTGTCCCCAAGTTTTTTCATTTAGGACTAACCTGTTTTAGTAAATAGCACTTTGGGATTTGTATAAATATAAAGTGCATTACCAGTCCAAAGTATTATTATTAATAACAGTGATTAATTTAACTATTAGAAAAGACTTTCTAATGTCTCATCCCTTCCGCAATAGACGATCTTAGAACATGTGTTGATCTATTGTAGCAAATATATAAAAGAGAGGAAAGAACTGGAAAGGGTAATGGGGAGTTCAGTAAAGATGGCTGATTTATTAGGGAAGCATCAATCAGATAAGATAATTAAAGCACTTATTAAATATTTAAAAGATACAGAATTAGCTGGGAGAATTTAGTGTGTGTATGTGCGTGTGTGTAAGTATAGATAGAATTTAGTTTCATGAAGATATAAAGATATATAGGCATTATATTTCTGAATTACATCTCCGTCCAGTTGATGGCGGTAATGCACACAGGATGCAAACTGCCAGAAAACTCAATAGAAGAAGAAGAAGAAGAATAGACGATCTTTGGTCCCACGTGACCTCCTCCTAGAGCTTCTCTCCGGCTTTAAATGAATGGAATCATTATATTATCAATGAGCTTATCGAACATATCGAGCTGAACTTTGGGCCAATAGGAGACCATCTAAAGGAGTCAGCTGGTCTACCAGTTTGGTTTACGTCGCACAGTTTGACGCTGTCACTGTGCGTCACAGCCGAGCGCCAAATCCAAAATGGCAGCAGAGTGCAGAGTGTGATGTTGCTCAGATGAAGCGAAACAAACTGAAACGGCAAAAAGGCGCCAAACAGGCAGATCAGCTGCTGCCAGGCTGCTGCTCTGAGGGGGAGACCTGGAAGGAAAGCCTCGCTGCTCCTCCCATCGGGGAGGGGGGGAGAGCACCCAGCACTGGCTCTAAAATAGCTCCCATTTTCTCCCCCACCAACCTCCAGAGGGGGGGTAAAGGGAGCTGTGAGGGAGGCTCTGATCCGACTGAAAACAAACCTCTTCCTCAGAAAGTGAAAAGTCACCATTCAGGATCCCACCTGACAGGTAAACATGAGGCTGCGGTGCCATGCAGGCGCCGGAGGGCCAGACTACCATCCTCACATCTGGACCTCCACCTGACAGGTAAACATGAGGCTGCGGTGCCATGCAGGCGCCGGAGGGCCAGACTACCATCCTCACATCTGGACCTCCACCTGACAGGTAAACATGAGGCTGCGGTGCCATGCAGGCGCCGGAGGGCCAGACTACCATCCTCACATCTGGACCTCCACCTGACAGGTAAACATGAGGCTGCGGTGCCATGCAGGCGCCGGAGGGCCAGACTACCATCCTCACATCTGGACCTCCTCCTGGAAGAAATCCAACAATCCAACCCAGGTTTTCCAGTACCAACAGTTTTCCAGTCTTTGCTGAAGAAAACCAGTGATGAGCTTCAGGATCCAGCTTCTGCAGGTGAGGTTCACTTTTATTGGTTTCTATTGTCTGTAAAGGAGAGAAGAAGAGCAGCAGAAGTGACCTGTGATTGGAGGCCGAGTCCGGACTCGGTTCCATGTCAGACAGGAAGTGGAGAAGTAGCGCAGAGGAAACGCCATCAGTTACTGAGTTTCTACCTCAGTCAGTTCAATAACCTGCTGCTTTCATCTCTGATGTTGCTCCTATTTTCTATTTACTGTAAAATGTCCATAGCTGTTTATTGGTTATTTATTCTCCAGTTTTATATCGTTAAAACACTTTACAGGATTTTATTGTTTATCTTTTAACTTTTCACTATTGTTTTATTCTTAGACATTTTTCTAAGCTCCACATTTAATCTTTTTGCTGCTGAAAACACCAGAATTTCCCCATTATGGGACAATAAAGGGGTTTCTATTCTGTTCTATTCTATTCTATTCTATTGTAGCCGCTTCTGTCTGAGATTTCCTTTTTAAGGTTTATTGTAGGGTCAAGCCCAAATCATCATTCCTCCACCGCCGTGCTTGTTCATATGCTTCAGATTGGAAGCAGCATCTGCGTTTGGATGTTCAGATGATAATCTGTAACATCAGATGTGTTTCTAAACGTGTTCCTCCTAAAGCTGCTCCTCCTCCTAAAGCTGCTCCTCCTCCTAAAGCTGCTCCTCCTCCTAAAGCTGCTCCTCCTCCTAAAGCTGCTCCTCCTCCTAAAGCTGCTCCTCCTCCTAAAGCTGCTCCTGCTCCTAAAGCTGCTCCTCCTCCTAAAGCTGCTCCTCCTCCTAAAGCTGCTCCTCCTCCTAAAGCTGCTCCTGCTCCTAAAACTGCTCCTCCTCCTAAAGCTGCTCCTCCTCCTAAAGCTGCTCCTCCTCCTAAAGCTGCTCCTGCTCCTAAAGCTGCTCCTGCTCCTAAAACTGCTCCTCCTCCTAAAGCTGCTCCTCCTCCTAAAGCTGCTCCTCCTCCTAAAGCTGCTCCTGCTCCTAAAGCTGCTCCTGCTCCTAAAACTGCTCCTCCTCCTAAAGCTGCTCCTCCTCCTCCTAAAGCTGCTCCTCCTCCTCCTAAAGCTGCTCCTGCTCCTAAAACTGCTCCTCCTCCTAAAGCTGCTCCTCCTCCTAAAGCTGCTCCTGCTCCTAAAGCTGCTCCTGCTCCTAAAGCTGCTCCTCCTCCTAAAGCTGCTCCTCCTCCTAAAGCTGCTCCTCCTCCTAAAGCTGCTCCTCCTCCTAAAGCTGCTCCTCCTCCTAAAGCTGCTCCTCCTCCTCCTAAAGCTGCTCCTCCTCCTGCTCCTGCTCCTAAAACTGCTCCTCCTCCTAAAGCTGCTCCTCCTCCTAAAGCTGCTCCTGCTCCTAAAGCTGCTCCTCCTCCTAAAGCTGCTCCTGCTCCTAAAGCTGCTCCTGCTCCTAAAGCTGCTCCTGCTCCTAAAGCTGCTCCTGCTCCTAAAACTGCTCCTCCTCCTAAAGCTGCTCCTCCTCCTAAAGCTGCTCCTCCTCCTCCTAAAGCTGCTCCTCCTCCTAAAGCTGCTCCTGCTCCTAAAGCTGCTCCTCCTCCTAAAGCTGCTCCTGCTCCTAAAACTGCTCCTGCTCCTAAAGCTGCTCCTGCTCCTAAAGCTGCTCCTCCTCCTAAAGCTGCTCCTCCTCCTAAAGCTGCTCCTGCTCCTAAAGCTGCTCCTCCTCCTAAAACTGCTCCTGCTCCTAAAGCTGCTCCTGCTCCTAAAGCTGCTCCTGCTCCTAAAGCTGCTCCTGCTCCTAAAACTGCTCCTCCTCCTAAAGCTGCTCCTCCTCCTAAAGCTGCTCCTCCTCCTCCTAAAGCTGCTCCTCCTCCTAAAGCTGCTCCTGCTCCTAAAGCTGCTCCTCCTCCTAAAGCTGCTCCTGCTCCTAAAACTGCTCCTGCTCCTAAAACTGCTCCTCCTCCTAAAGCTGCTCCTGCTCCTAAAACTGCTCCTCCTCCTAAAGCTGCTCCTGCTCCTAAAACTGCTCCTGCTCCTAAAGCTGCTCCTCCTCCTAAAGCTGCTCCTCCTCCTAAAGCTGCTCCTGCTCCTAAAACTGCTCCTGCTCCTAAAGCTGCTCCTGCTCCTAAAGCTGCTCCTGCTCCTAAAGCTGCTCCTGCTCCTAAAACTGCTCCTCCTCCTAAAGCTGCTCCTCCTCCTAAAGCTGCTCCTCCTCCTCCTAAAGCTGCTCCTCCTCCTAAAGCTGCTCCTGCTCCTAAAGCTGCTCCTCCTCCTAAAGCTGCTCCTGCTCCTAAAACTGCTCCTGCTCCTAAAACTGCTCCTCCTCCTAAAGCTGCTCCTGCTCCTAAAACTGCTCCTCCTCCTAAAGCTGCTCCTCCTCCTAAAACTGCTCCTGCTCCTAAAGCTGCTCCTCCTCCTCCTAAAGCTGCTCCTCCTCCTAAAGCTGCTCCTGCTCCTAAAGCTGCTCCTCCTCCTAAAGCTGCTCCTGCTCCTAAAACTGCTCCTGCTCCTAAAACTGCTCCTCCTCCTAAAGCTGCTCCTGCTCCTAAAACTGCTCCTCCTCCTAAAGCTGCTCCTGCTCCTAAAACTGCTCCTGCTCCTAAAACTGCTCCTGCTCCTAAAACTGCTCCTCCTCCTAAAGCTGCTCCTGCTCCTAAAACTGCTCCTGCTCCTAAAACTGCTCCTCCTCCTAAAGCTGCTCCTGCTCCTAAAACTGCTCCTCCTCCTAAAGCTGCTCCTCCTCCTAAAGCTGCTCCTGCTCCTAAAGCTGCTCCTCCTCCTCCTAAAGCTGCTCCTCCTCCTAAAGCTGCTCCTGCTCCTAAAGCTGCTCCTCCTCCTAAAGCTGCTCCTGCTCCTAAAACTGCTCCTGCTCCTAAAACTGCTCCTCCTCCTAAAGCTGCTCCTGCTCCTAAAACTGCTCCTCCTCCTAAAGCTGCTCCTGCTCCTAAAACTGCTCCTGCTCCTAAAACTGCTCCTGCTCCTAAAACTGCTCCTCCTCCTAAAGCTGCTCCTGCTCCTAAAACTGCTCCTCCTCCTAAAGCTGCTCCTGCTCCTAAAGCTGCTCCTCCTCCTCCTAAAGCTGCTCCTCCTCCTAAAGCTGCTCCTGCTCCTAAAGCTGCTCCTCCTCCTAAAGCTGCTCCTGCTCCTAAAGCTGCTCCTGCTCCTAAAGCTGCTCCTCCTCCTAAAGCTGCTCCTGCTCCTAAAGCTGCTCCTCCTCCTAAAGCTGCTCCTCCTCCTCCTAAAGCTGCTCCTCCTCCTAAAGCTGCTCCTCCTCCTAAAGCTGCTCCTCCTCCTCCTAAAGCTGCTCCTCCTCCTAAAGCTGCTCCTCCTCCTAAAGCTGCTCCTCCTCCTAAAGCTGCTCCTGCTCCTAAAGCTGCTCCTCCTCCTAAAGCTGCTCCTCCTCCTCCTAAAGCTGCTCCTCCTCCTAAAGCTGCTCCTGCTCCTAAAGCTGCTCCTCCTCCTAAAGCTGCTCCTGCTCCTAAAGCTGCTCCTGCTCCTAAAGCTGCTCCTGCTCCTAAAGCTGCTCCTGCTCCTAAAGCTGCTCCTCCTGCTAAAGCTGCTCCTCCTCCTCCTAAAGCTGCTCCTCCTCCTAAAGCTGCTCCTGCTCCTAAAGCTGCTCCTCCTCCTAAAGCTGCTCCTGCTCCTAAAACTGCTCCTGCTCCTAAAACTGCTCCTCCTCCTAAAGCTGCTCCTGCTCCTAAAACTGCTCCTCCTCCTAAAGCTGCTCCTCCTCCTAAAACTGCTCCTGCTCCTAAAGCTGCTCCTCCTCCTCCTAAAGCTGCTCCTCCTCCTAAAGCTGCTCCTGCTCCTAAAGCTGCTCCTCCTCCTAAAGCTGCTCCTGCTCCTAAAACTGCTCCTGCTCCTAAAACTGCTCCTGCTCCTAAAACTGCTCCTCCTCCTAAAGCTGCTCCTGCTCCTAAAACTGCTCCTGCTCCTAAAACTGCTCCTGCTCCTAAAACTGCTCCTCCTCCTAAAGCTGCTCCTGCTCCTAAAACTGCTCCTCCTCCTAAAGCTGCTCCTCCTCCTCCTAAAGCTGCTCCTCCTCCTCCTAAAGCTGCTCCTCCTCCTAAAGCTGCTCCTGCTCCTAAAGCTGCTCCTCCTCCTAAAGCTGCTCCTGCTCCTAAAACTGCTCCTGCTCCTAAAGCTGCTCCTCCTCCTAAAGCTGCTCCTGCTCCTAAAGCTGCTCCTCCTCCTAAAGCTGCTCCTCCTCCTCCTAAAGCTGCTCCTCCTCCTAAAGCTGCTCCTCCTCCTAAAGCTGCTCCTCCTCCTAAAGCTGCTCCTGCTCCTAAAGCTGCTCCTCCTCCTAAAGCTGCTCCTCCTCCTCCTAAAGCTGCTCCTCCTCCTAAAGCTGCTCCTCCTCCTAAAGCTGCTCCTGCTCCTAAAGCTGCTCCTCCTCCTAAAGCTGCTCCTGCTCCTAAAGCTGCTCCTGCTCCTAAAGCTGCTCCTGCTCCTAAAGCTGCTCCTGCTCCTAAAACTGCTCCTCCTCCTAAAGCTGCTCCTCCTCCTAAAGCTGCTCCTGCTCCTAAAACTGCTCCTCCTCCTAAAGCTGCTCCTCCTCCTAAAGCTGCTCCTCCTCCTCCTAAAGCTGCTCCTCCTCCTAAAGCTGCTCCTGCTCCTAAAGCTGCTCCTCCTCCTAAAGCTGCTCCTGCTCCTAAAGCTGCTCCTAAAGCTGCTCCTGCTCCTAAAACTGCTCCTCCTCCTAAAGCTGCTCCTGCTCCTAAAGCTGCTCCTAAAGCTGCTCCTGCTCCTAAAACTGCTCCTCCTCCTAAAGCTGCTCCTGCTCCTAAAGCTGCTCCTAAAGCTGCTCCTCCTCCTCCTAAAGCTGCTCCTCCTCCTAAAGCTGCTCCTCCTCCTAAAGCTGCTCCTGCTCCTAAAACCGCTCCTCCTCCTAAAGCTGCTCCTCCTCCTAAAGCTGCTCCTGCTCCTAAAACTGCTCCTGCTCCTAAAGCTGCTCCTGCTCCTAAAGCTGCTCCTCCTCCTAAAGCTGCTCCTGCTCCTAAAGCTGCTCCTCCTCCTAAAGCTGCTCCTGCTCCTAAAACTGCTCCTGCTCCTAAAGCTGCTCCTGCTCCTAAAACTGCTCCTGCTCCTAAAGCTGCTCCTGCTCCTAAAGCTGCTCCTGCTCCTAAAGCTGCTCCTCCTCCTAAAGCTGCTCCTGCTCCTAAAGCTGCTCCTGCTCCTAAAGCTGCTCCTGCTCCTAAAACTGCTCCTGCTCCTAAAGCTGCTCCTGCTCCTAAAGCTGCTCCTGCTCCTAAAGCTGCTCCTCCTCCTAAAGCTGCTCCTGCTCCTAAAACTGCTCCTGCTCCTAAAGCTGCTCCTCCTCCTAAAGCTGCTCCTCCTCCTCCTAAAGCTGCTCCTCCTCCTAAAGCTGCTCCTGCTCCTAAAGCTGCTCCTGCTCCTAAAGCTGCTCCTCCTCCTAAAGCTGCTCCTCCTCCTAAAGCTGCTCCTCCTCCTCCTAAAGCTGCTCCTCCTCCTCCTAAAGCTGCTCCTCCTCCTAAAGCTGCTCCTGCTCCTAAAGCTGCTCCTCCTCCTAAAGCTGCTCCTGCTCCTAAAGCTGCTCCTGCTCCTAAAGCTGCTCCTGCTCCTAAAGCTGCTCCTGCTCCTAAAGCTGCTCCTCCTCCTAAAGCTGCTCCTCCTCCTAAAGCTGCTCCTCCTCCTAAAGCTGCTCCTGCTCCTAAAGCTGCTCCTGCTCCTAAAGCTGCTCCTCCTCCTAAAGCTGCTCCTGCTCCTAAAGCTGCTCCTGCTCCTAAAGCTGCTCCTCCTCCTAAAGCTGCTCCTGCTCCTAAAGCTGCTCCTGCTCCTAAAACTGCTCCTGCTCCTAAAGCTGCTCCTCCTCCTAAAGCTGCTCCTCCTCCTCCTAAAGCTGCTCCTCCTCCTAAAGCTGCTCCTGCTCCTAAAGCTCCTCCTCCTCCTAAAGCTGCTCCTCCTCCTAAAGCTGCTCCTGCTCCTAAAGCTGCTCCTCCTCCTAAAGCTGCTCCTCCTCCTAAAGCTGCTCCTCCTCCTCCTAAAGCTGCTCCTGCTCCTAAAGCTGCTCCTAAAGCTGCTCCTGCTCCTAAAACTGCTCCTCCTCCTAAAGCTGCTCCTGCTCCTAAAGCTGCTCCTAAAGCTGCTCCTCCTCCTCCTAAAGCTGCTCCTCCTCCTAAAGCTGCTCCTCCTCCTAAAGCTGCTCCTGCTCCTAAAACTGCTCCTCCTCCTAAAGCTGCTCCTCCTCCTAAAGCTGCTCCTGCTCCTAAAACTGCTCCTGCTCCTAAAGCTGCTCCTGCTCCTAAAGCTGCTCCTCCTCCTAAAGCTGCTCCTGCTCCTAAAGCTGCTCCTCCTCCTAAAGCTGCTCCTGCTCCTAAAACTGCTCCTGCTCCTAAAGCTGCTCCTGCTCCTAAAGCTGCTCCTGCTCCTAAAACTGCTCCTGCTCCTAAAGCTGCTCCTGCTCCTAAAACTGCTCCTCCTCCTAAAGCTGCTCCTCCTCCTAAAACTGCTCCTCCTCCTAAAGCTGCTCCTCCTCCTAAAGCTGCTCCTCCTCCTCCTAAAGCTGCTCCTCCTCCTAAAGCTGCTCCTGCTCCTAAAGCTGCTCCTCCTCCTAAAGCTGCTCCTGCTCCTAAAACTGCTCCTGCTCCTAAAGCTGCTCCTGCTCCTAAAGCTGCTCCTGCTCCTAAAGCTGCTCCTGCTCCTAAAACTGCTCCTCCTCCTAAAGCTGCTCCTCCTCCTAAAGCTGCTCCTGCTCCTAAAGCTGCTCCTCCTCCTAAAGCTGCTCCTCCTCCTAAAGCTGCTCCTCCTCCTAAAGCTGCTCCTCCTCCTCCTAAAGCTGCTCCTCCTCCTAAAGCTGCTCCTCCTCCTAAAGCTGCTCCTGCTCCTAAAGCTGCTCCTCCTCCTAAAGCTGCTCCTCCTCCTCCTAAAGCTGCTCCTCCTCCTAAAGCTGCTCCTCCTCCTAAAGCTGCTCCTCCTCCTAAAGCTGCTCCTCCTCCTCCTAAAGCTGCTCCTCCTCCTAAAGCTGCTCCTCCTCCTAAAGCTGCTCCTCCTCCTAAAGCTGCTCCTCCTCCTCCTAAAGCTGCTCCTCCTCCTCCTAAAGCTGCTCCTCCTCCTAAAGCTGCTCCTCCTCCTAAAGCTGCTCCTGCTCCTAAAGCTGCTCCTGCTCCTAAAGCTGCTCCTGTTCCTAAAGCTGCTCCTCCTCCTAAAGCTGCTCCTCCTCCTAAAGCTGCTCCTCCTCCTAAAGCTGCTCCTCCTCCTAAAGCTGCTCCTGCTCCTAAAGCTGCTCCTCCTCCTAAAGCTGCTCCTCCTCCTCCTAAAGCTGCTCCTCCTCCTAAAGCTGCTCCTCCTCCTAAAGCTGCTCCTGCTCCTAAAGCTGCTCCTGCTCCTAAAGCTGCTCCTGTTCCTAAAGCTGCTCCTCCTCCTAAAGCTGCTCCTGCTCCTAAAACTGCTCCTCCTCCTAAAGCTGCTCCTCCTCCTAAAGCTGCTCCTCCTCCTAAAGCTGCTCCTGCTCCTAAAACTGCTCCTCCTCCTAAAGCTGCTCCTCCTCCTAAAGCTGCTCCTCCTCCTCCTAAAGCTGCTCCTCCTCCTAAAGCTGCTCCTGCTCCTAAAGCTGCTCCTCCTCCTAAAGCTGCTCCTGCTCCTAAAGCTGCTCCTAAAGCTGCTCCTGCTCCTAAAACTGCTCCTCCTCCTAAAGCTGCTCCTAAAGCTGCTCCTCCTCCTAAAGCTGCTCCTCCTCCTAAAGCTGCTCCTCCTCCTAAAGCTGCTCCTCCTGCAGGTGGAGGAGCAGCAGCTGTAGCTCCTCCTTGCTCCTGCTGACGTCCAATAGAGCTAAAATCTGCAGCAACGTTCCAGAAAAGTGAAAAACAATCCGCTGCATTTTGTTTCTCATCCAGGAAACTTGTTAAACTCTAAATGTCTGGATTAACGTTGAGTTCCAGGTTTTATAGAAGCAGAAGATCGGCTCAGCAGCTTCTTTTCCAGTTCAGCTTTATTTTCTGGTTTTAAATAAACATTCAAGTTAAACTTGTTTCAGGATGAATTTAAACACGGATTAGATGGAAACCTGAACCAGTTTCCCTCCTTTTATCCAGGCGTCCGTCTGGAGGAAGATCTCTGGACCAACAAGTATTTTCCTCAACATTCCAGTGAAGTGATCGGTAACTCCGCCTCCGTCACCAAGCTGCACAGGTACGGGGGGCGGGGGGGGGGCTCACAGGTACGGCTTCATTCCTCCATCCTATAGCTAACACTGGGGGGGGGTCTCCTCCTTTTGATCAGCTGGTTGCAGAAATGGAAACTAAGAGCTGAAGGTGAGGAGCAGCGGATGGAGGAAGGAAACGGTAAAATTCTTTCTTTCCCTCAAAGTTTGAGATAATTAATGTTTTTTTAATTATGTTGTAAACATTTTTATTTCCTGCGTCCAGATTTCTGGGACTGTGGCGCCTTCCAGGGCGACGGCGTAGGAAAGGAGCCGCTGGCTAAGGCCATGCTGCTAACGGGACCCTCAGGGGTGGGAAAGACGGCCGCTGTCTATGCCTGCGCTCAGCAGCTCGGCTTCAAGGTGGGAAAACTGTCTTTGGCTTTAGAACTCTGAAAAGTGCGGCAGGCTTTTACGTTCAGCTGTTCCAGCTGTGAGTGTTTAGCCCCCCCTGGACGGGCGTCTATGAATCTGTCCTCTCTGACCGACATGCCTCAGTCAGAGCTTGGGGGGGGGGGCTCACATGTATCACTTTGTTCACATTTAACCCCGACCTGCGTGGAGCGCGAGGAGACAGATCCAGGTGGTTTACTGCCCCTGGTGGTCAGAGGAGGAATGACACAGAACTGAGCTGCTCTTTAACTTGATAGGATCTATTAGCCCCTCCCCCTCCTCCTTATACCACAGGTGTTTGAGGTGAACTGTTCCTCTCAGCGCAGCGGGCGCCATGTTCTGGCTCAGCTGAAGGAGGCCACGCAGTCTCACCTGGTGGACATCCCAGGAGACCATCCCCTGAAGCCGGCGTACTTCAACAACTTCAACACTGACCGCTCCGCCCCTAAACCAGAGGCCTCAGCAGGTAGGAGGCATTAACAGGTGGGAGGCATTAGCAGGTGGGAGGCATTAGCAGGTGGGAGGCATTAGCAGGTGGGAGGCATTAGCAGGTGGGAGGCATTATCAGGTGGGAGGCATTAGCAGGTGGGAGGCATTAACAGGTGGGAGGCATTAGCAGGTGGGAGGCATTAGCAGGTGGGAGGCATTAGCAGGTGGGAGGCATTAGCAGGTGGGAGGTATTAACAGGTGGGAGGTATTAACAGGTGGGAGGCCTCGGCAGGTGGGAGGCATTAGCAGGTGGGAGGCATTAGCAGGTGGGAGGCATTAGCAGGTGGGAGGTATTAGCAGGTGGGAGGCATTAGCAGGTGGGAGGCATTAGCAGGTGGGAGGCATTAGCAGGTGGGAGGCCTCAGCAGGTGGGAGGCATTAGCAGGTGGGAGGCATTAACAGGTGGGAGGCATTAGCAGGTGGGAGGCATTAACAGGTGGGAGGCATTAGCAGGTGGGAGGCATTAGCAGGTGGGAGGCATTAACAGGTGGGAGGCATTAACAGGTGGGAGGCATTAGCAGGTGGGAGGCATTAGCAGGTGGGAGGCATTAGCAGGTGGGAGGCATTAGCAGGTGGGAGGCATTAGCAGGTGGGAGGCATTAACAGGTGGGAGGCCTCAGCAGGTGGGAGGCATTAGCAGGTGGGAGGCATTAGCAGGTGGGAGGCATTAGCAGGTGGGAGGCCTCAGCAGGTGGGAGGCATTAGCAGGTGGGAGGCATTAGCAGGTGGGAGGCCTCAGCAGGTGGGAGGCATTAGCAGGTGGGAGGCATTAGCAGGTGGGAGGCCTCAGCAGGTGGGAGGCATTAGCAGGTGGGAGGCATTAGCAGGTAGGAGGCATTAGCAGGTGGGAGGCATTAGCAGGTGGGAGGCCTCAGCAGGTGGGAGGCATTAGCAGGTGGGAGGCCTCAGCAGGTGGGAGGCATTAGCAGGTGGGAGGCCTCAGCAGGTGGGAGGCATTAGCAGGTGGGAGGCCTCAGCAGGTGGGAGGCATTAGCAGGTGGGAGGCCTCAGCAGGTGGGAGGCATTAGCAGGTGGGAGGCCTCAGCAGGTGGGAGGCATTAGCAGGTGGGAGGCATTAGCAGGTGGGAGGCATTAGCAGGTGGGAGGCATTAGCAGGTGGGAGGCATTAGCAGGTGGGAGGCATTAGCAGGTGGGAGGCATTAGCAGGTGGGAGGCATTAGCAGGTGGGAGGCCTCAGCAGGTGGGAGGCATTAGCAGGTGGGAGGCATTAGCAGGTGGGAGGCATTAGCAGGTGGGAGGCATTAGCAGGTGGGAGGCCTCAGCAGGTGGGAGGCATTAGCAGGTGGGAGGCATTAGCAGGTGGGAGGCATTAGCAGGTGGGAGGCATTAGCAGGTGGGAGGCCTCAGCAGGTGGGAGGCATTAGCAGGTGGGAGGCATTAGCAGGTGGGAGGCATTAGCAGGTGGGAGGCATTAGCAGGTGGGAGGCATTAGCAAGTGAAAAACAACACAAAGCTAAGCTAATGTTAGCCTAGCATTGCTCTGGATGGTTTTCAGCTGAACTTTGACCCCGTTTCCTTCCGATGGTTTCATTAAAATCCAAAGGAAGATGAATTAACTTGTTTTTCTAAAAGCCGGTAAAAGTTTCCTTTCTACAGAAATCTGAGAGTTTAGCTTCATCTTTGAATAAATCTGTTCAACTTGAATAAAAGTTGATATTAGATGTGATTTTAGTAAATATTGGTAATAAAGTGATGATTAAATGAGCACTTTTTCGTTCAACATTTCTACGTTTTCCACTTCTTTTACAAACTGTGTTTCTTCCTGTTTTTATGTTTTTACAGGAAAAGTAAAACTTCCTAAATCTATAAGAGGTGCGGCTCGGAGCGCCTCAGGTCGTAAGGTCAAAGCCAAGCCGAGCGCCGTTACTTTAGCGTGTTTCTTTAAGGCGAAGCGAGAAGCAGGTCAGACTAGAAAGCCAAAGATGGAGGAAGCTGGAAGGTCGGCGCCCAGCGGGAGGCCGGCGGCGCCCAGCGGGAGGTTGGCGGCGCCCAGCGGGAGGTCGGCGGCGCCCAGCGGGAGGTCGGCGGCGCCCAGCGGGAGGTCGGCGGCGCCCAGCGGGAGGTCGGCGGCGCCCAGCGGGAGGTCGGCGGCGCCCAGCGGGAGGTCGGCGGCGCCCAGCGGGAGGCCGGCGGCGGCGCCCAGCGGGAGGCCGGCGGCGCCCAGCGGGAGGTCGGCGGCGCCCAGCGGGAGGTCGGCGGCGCCCAGCGGGAGGTCGGCGGCGCCCAGCGGGAGGCCGGCGGCGGCCATGTCCCTCATCCTGTTTGAGGAGGTGAAACGTTGCTTTATGGATGACTTGAAGCCATGGTTGGTTCTTATTTGACGCGTCCCGCTCTGACAGGTGGATGTGGTGTTTGAGGCTGACGTGGGTTTCCTGGCAGCCATTAAGGCTTTCCTGACCACCACCAAACGGCCGGTCGTCCTGACAACCGCTGGTAAGTTTCATTTAGTTTCTGGTTAGGAATAAAGCTCCATGGAAACCATCTTCACCTCCTGCTGAGCTTTAAAACTGAACTAAAACAAAAATGTAATAAATGTCCAAAGATTTATTAGCTTATTATTATAATTACACATTTCTTACTAAACCAAATAATTTAAATGTAGACAGCTGCAATAAATAATAACCTGCTAAATGTCCCTCTTTGCTTCCCATAGCCGCCATGTTTTATTCTTTGGATCTGGTCAGAAACTGAAATATAAAATAAATAGTTTTATTAATTCCACCCTGAAAAAACTGCCTCTCTGCATGTAACCCCTCCCCTCGGGGAGCAGTGGGCGGCCATTGTGCGGCGCCCGGGGAGCAGTGTGAGGTTAAGGGTCTTGCTCAGGGACCCGGAGTGGAGGCTGTGGGAATGGGGCTCAAACTGTTGGTCTGGATGCAGTTAAATTCACGCTGAGATTCTCGTTTTCCTCAGATCGCTCATTCAGACAGAGTTTCCATGGTTACCTGGACCAAATCGTTTTCAAGTCGCCATCAGCTGTGAGTCACTGGGCGCGTTTTCCCAGCATGCATGTCTGCAGGAGAGAACTCTGACTGCGGGATAAATCATCTCTAGCTTCTGTCCTTTAAAGCTGAACGTGTGCAGCTTCCTGCAGCTGGTGTGTCTGGCTGAAAACGTGCGACTGCCTTTAGATGAAGCCAGCAGCCTGGTCAGAGTCTCAGGCGGAGACGTCAGACGCTGCCTGCTGCAGCTGCAGCTCTGGGTGAACGGCGGCAGAGGACGGACGCCTCAGCATGGAGGTCGGCTTAACCTTTATTACTGTCGGCTGATTTTAAATGGTTCCATGTGACGCAGAGAAAAGAGAAGCGACTAGAAGGAGAAGCTAATTGACTCCAGGAAGGTTTAATTAGCGCTAAACTTCCTGCTTCTTCTACCTGCAGCAGGAAGTTCTGAGGTAAACAGCAGAGACTGTCCTTTATAGGGGGTGTAGCCCCCTAAAGGGGTGGGGTGGGGGGGGGACATCCAAGCGGAGCCAAAAAGTATTCAGTCAGCCTCTGACAGAAGGCTCTCCTACTGAATAATCAGAGGTCTGTAATTTTCATCATTGGTAAACTTCAACTATGAGAGATATTTCTAACTGATGGCGGATCTAAGCTAGCCTGGGTGCCATTCCGAACTTAGTCCCGCCCACAAGGTTTGAGGTCGGGAAGTTCGGTCTGGCTCTGCTCCATAGTAGCGCGAGTATGATCGCCCACTGTCAGGCGATCCAATCAAATTGTCAGGGCGGGCTTTATACGATGATGGACAGATGATCAACAGTAACGTAATCAACCACGTGACCAAAGCACGCTTGGGTGACAACAACAATGGCTGCCGCTGGAGAGTTGAGGTGAGTAGATTCTGCTATTAGGTCTGTTCTAGAAGATATCGACAGCAAATTAATTTTAAAAGAGGAACAGAGAAACGCGATCAAGGCTCATCTTCTTATTCTAGGCGTGCAACTGCACGCTTTGATTTTTGTTCACAACAACTATGCATCGCTTAACATACGTCACGCACTCCGTTGCTCTTATTGGTTGTAGGTCTATCCAATTGAGTGCAGAGGCATTTTTTTTCCTGGTTCGTTGGAAACACGCCCCATAATCACAGCTCTATGGAGCAGCATCAGACTCATTCTGACTAGAATTGAGTCGGACTACGTCAGGCTAGATCTAAGCAGCAGAACCTGAAGAGTCGGAGGCGTCCTGAATGCTGCAGCTCTGTCTGATCGCATCTTTAAAACAAAATACTCTGAGCCACGTTTTTCTGGATGAATACCAAGTATTATTCTCCCTAAATCACTGATTCTTTCTGCAGATGTGGACCGCAGCTCACCGGCAGGCGGCGGCTCGCCGGCAGAAGGCGGCGGTTTGGACCCAGCGGTTCCTCCTCAGCTGGCAGGCTGCTCTGCACACATGCTGGGGCTCCACCCTCTAACCCCGACTGTCCTGCTAAACTTCCTCCAGGTAAGAAGTTTCCGTTTTCTTCCTGCTGGGATCAGATGAAGTTTTCCTCACAGTGACGCCATGTTGATGATGCGTTCCGCTGCAGCTGGAGTCCTGCTCTGAAACGTTTCTCAGCATCCTATCAGAGAGCTGGAGGAGAAATCAGCCTCTTCTCTATTCCAACCTGGAGCTCCTGCTCTCCATGGCGGCCCCCCCATCCCGCCCCCAGGTGCAGATGGAGCTGAGGCCCCCAGAAGCCGACCTCCACCTTAATCACACCATCAGGTCCACTGAGTCACCGTCGTGCTTCAGACCCTCCAGACTCAGCCGACGGAGACGCGCCGCTTCATCGCCAGCCGCCAAACCGGCTTCAGATTCAACCTACAGACCTCAGAGAGCGCCGACGCTCGGCGAGACTCGCTCTGAAGCGCGGAGCTCATGGGAGCAGCGTGCAGCCGAGGCGCTGATGGGCGCTCTGGAGAGCCTGGCAGATTTCTATGACCTCATGTCGAACATTGATGCGCTGCTCAGTCCGTCTGCCTCACAGCCGCCGGCCGCCGCCGCTTTCCTTTGGACGGGAGCGGCTTTAAAGGATGGCATGACGGATGAGCCGCGGGAGGAGGGGGGGAGAAGGAAGCCGGAGGCGCTTCAGGAGATCCAGGCTGCAGCTGAAGGTCTGGGGGGTCGGCGCTGCTGGCGGAGGCTCGCCGAGGCGTGGAGCGAAGCGCACGGCTGGAGAGCAAACCTGAGCGGCGAACAGTGGGGCGGGCTGCAGGACAGGCTGTTGCTAAGCAACCGCCCTAAACAACGTAACTTGTGCTTTACAGCTCAGCCTCCCCCAGGTGGATCAAGGTGAGCCTGCAGGAGCCAATCAGCTTCCTGATTGATCTATTGATCTATTTACAGTAGAGGCAGCGTTTCCTGTCATCATCTAACTCCCCCCCCCCCCCCCCCCCAGCGTGTCCCAGAGGCTCGCCGTCGCTCGGTCGGCTCTCAGCCTGCTGGGGAACAGGCGCGCCGTCTGCATCGACTACCTGCCGCTCCTCCGCCGCTCCGGGCGCCTCAGAGGGGAGCAGTGGAGGTCAGCCTGACGCCAAACTAACGGTTTCTACGTCTTTAAGCCGCCAGCAGGACGCCGCTTCAATCCGACTCTCATTCCTTTTCATTCCAGTGCTGGAAGCGCCTGAATGCAGCACATCTGGGAGCGCCCGGATGCATCACATCTGGGAGCGCCCGGATGCGGCACATCTGGGAGCGCCCGAATGCAGCACATCTGGGAGCGCCCGGATGCATCACATCTGGCAGCGCCCGAATGCAGCACATCTGGGAGCGCCCGAATGCAGCACATCTGGGAGCGCCCGAATGCAGCACATCTGGCAGCGCCCGGATGCAGCACATCTGGGAGCGCCCGGATGCGGCACATCTGGGAGCGCCCGGATGCGGCACATCTGGGAGCGCCCGAATGCGGCACATCTGGGAGCGCCCGAATGCGGCACATCTGGGAGCGCCCGAATGCGGCACATCTGGGAGCGCCCGAATGCGGCACATCTGGGAGCGCCCGGATGCAGCACATCTGGCAGCGCCCGGATGCAGCACATCTGGCAGCGCCCGGATGCAGCACATCTGGGAGCGCCCGAATGCGGCACATCTGGGAGCGCCCGAATGCGGCACATCTGGGAGCGCCCGAATGCGGCACATCTGGGAGCGCCCGAATGCGGCACATCTGGGAGCGCCCGAATGCGGCACATCTGGGAGCGCCCGAATGCAGCACATCTGGGAGCGCCCGGATGCGGCACATCTGGGAGCGCCCGAATGCGGCACATCTGGGAGCGCCCGAATGCGGCACATCTGGGAGCGCCCGAATGCGGCACATCTGGGAGCGCCCGAATGCAGCACATCTGGGAGCGCCCGAATGCAGCACATCTGGGAGCGCCCGGATGCAGCACATCTGGGAGCGCCCGAATGCAGCACATCTGGGAGCGCCCGAATGCAGCACATCTGGCAGCGCCCGGATGCAGCACATCTGGGAGCGCCCGAATGCAGCACATCTGGCAGCGCCCGGATGCGGCACATCTGGGAGCGCCCGAATGCGGCACATCTGGGAGCGCCCGAATGCAGCACATCTGGCAGCGCCCGGATGCGGCACATCTGGGAGCGCCCGAATGCGGCACATCTGGGAGCGCTCGAATGCGGCACATCTGGAACTCTCCTTATCTAGCATCCACTTCCTGGCCTGAGATTTCAGGAAAACCTCTGAACTTGGTTCTTTTATTCAGCCTCATCAGTCGAACAGAACTTTACAGCCTTTAATCATGTTTATGCAAATAATGGTAAATAAAACTATTTTTAACATATTCAGTTTAAACGTGTCCTGAAGCCATCCGGAGGCGGAGCAAAGCGCCTGGAAGCAGGTGGGTATCCTGCAGCTAGCAGGAGGGCTGGGCGAGCAGCTCGTAGAACGCTACGGCCTGCAGCAGCGCGTCACATAGCTCCTCCCCTCCTCTCCTGCTGCCCAGCTGGAAGGAGTTCCTGTATTTGGCCAGAAGCTCCTGGGGGAAGTTTATCCGGGGAAACTTCTGCGTCACCGACTCCGTCATCAGCTGCCGCACCGTCTGAGCGCCGCTGGTCCTGGACTCCCCCACCATCAGGCCAAAGTGGCGTCCCACGGCGACCCTCATCATGTTGAGGACCCTGGAGAGGAGCGGGGGAATCAACATGGCTGTCGATACAACTAACAGAAAACGATTCCACCAAAGGTGCTTTGCAGTAAAACTTTATGCAGATAATGTTTTATCCAGGGGGCCTCTGGTTCCATTGGTTGGTCCAAAGAAAGAACAGTCAGTGACTCTATGTGAGATCAATCTACTATAGAAATTAGCTACAAACTGCAGGCAGCAGGATAATAAAAGCCAACATATTCTGCCGGCAGGTTTCTACATTTGAAGTTAATTTAGGCGTTAATAAACTGTTTCAGAGGAGTGATCATAGCGCTCTGCATCAGCAGTGCTGCGTCTGACTCCCTGCCATATCCCAGATTAGCTTCTGATTGGTTGATGAGGCGCGTCCAGCTGCTAAAGTTACATTTTCCCACCTCCTCAGACGCTCATGAGGCGCCGCTGCTCCTGCTGCTGCGCCTTGTGGGCGTCAACCAGGGACTCTGCATGTGAACCTGCTGCTTCTGGTGTGAACGTAGCATTAGAATGACCGTGAAGCATGACAACCATGAAACAGCTGCAGCTAATGGGACCATCTCGTTTCACTGGCCTCCCAGCAGATGGCGCCATATTTCTTTATGTCCCAGAGCAGGGATTCTATTTAGGGTTTATTTTATGATTAAATGATTTTTGGATTGTTTACTATGGACACATTAGAGGACTGCGGTTTAAAAGAAGTATCTGAAGGCAGTTTTCTGACCTGGGAGGAATATTGGGCTCCGGTGGGGAGACTCTGGGCTCCAGCAGAGCGAACAGCATGGCCTCCACTGTCCTCATGTGAGCCATGACAGGAAACAGAGCTGTGTTCTGCACAGAGATGGACGGCTTCTCTATCAGGTAGAAATCTGCTGATGGGAGGGCCGACACCACCGAGGACACCTGAGGGCAGAAAAGGAAATGGATTCCCAGTCAGACGGATGAAGAACCGTCAGGTGGTCTGAAGAGCTGCTGACTCACGTCACTCAGGTATGAAGAAGCCATGTAGGATCCTTTGAAGAAATGAGGACAGTCCATCTGCTGCCATTCTAGGACGTTCATCCCACGGTCCACATGGGCCCAGGCGATCTTATTGGTCCCACATACGATTGAGATGACGGACGCCGCCGCCTGTACACACACAGGTAACCGTGGGAGACCAGCGTTAAGCTGCCTTTGACTTCTTCTCTGCTAAATGTGAGTTGATCTAAAATCACTATTAACTTTTTATCTGACCATAAAGAAGGATTCCTAACTCCTTTCTAGTCTATATTCATTATAGCCAGTGGCCACTCTGTTAGCCACTCTGTTAGCCTCTCTGTTAGCCTCTCTGTTAGCCTCTCTGTTAGCCACTCTGTTAGCCACTCTGTTAGCCACTCTGTTAGCCTCTCTGTTAGCCACTCTGTTAGCCTCTCTGTTAGCCTCTCTGTTAGCCACTCTGTTAGCCACTCTGTTAGCCACTCTGTTAGCCTCTCTGTTAGCCACTCTGTTAGCCTCTCTGTTAGCCTCTCTGTTAGCCACTCTGTTAGCCTCTCTGTTAGCCTCTCTGTTAGCCTCTCTGTTAGCCACTCTGTTAGCCTCTCTGTTAGCCTCTCTGTTAGCCTCTCTGTTAGCCACTCTGTTAGCCACTCTGTTAGCCTCTCTGTTAGCCACTCTGTTAGCCACTCTGTTAGCCACTCTATTAGCCTCTCTGTTAGCCACTCTGACAGCCTCTATTAGCCTCTCTGTTAGCCTCTCTGTTAGCCACTCTGTTAGCCACTCTGACAGCCTCTCTGACAGCTTCTCTGTTAGCCTCTCTGTTAGCCACTCTGACAGCCTCTCTTTTAGCCACTCTGTTAGCCAGTCTGACAGCTTCTCTGTTAGCCACTCTGACAGCCACTCTGTTAGCCTCTCTGACAGCTTCTCTGACAGCTTCTCTGTTAGCCACTCTGTTAGCCAGTCTGACAGCTTCTCTGTTAGCCACTCTGACAGCCTCTCTGTTAGCCTCTCTGTTAGCCACTCTGACAGCCTCTCTGTTAGCCACTCTGACAGCCTCTCTGTTAGCCACTCTGACAGCCTCTCTTTTAGCCACTCTGTTAGCCACTCTGACAGCCTCTCTTTTAGCCACTCTGTTAGCCACTCTGACAGCCTCTCTGTTAGCCACTCTGACAGCCTCTATTAGCCTCTCTGTTAGCCACTCTGTTAGCCACTCTGTTAGCCTCTCTGTTAGCCTCTCTGTTAGCCACTCTGACAGCCTCTCTGTTAGCCTCTCTGTTAGCCACTCTGTTAGCCTCTATGTTAGCCACTCTATTAGCCTCTCTGTTAGCCTCTCTGTTAGCCAATCTGACAGCCTCTATTAGCCTCTCTGTTAGCCACTCTGTTAGCCACTCTGTTAGCCACTCTGACAGCCTCTCTGACAGCTTCTCTGTTAGCCTCTCTGTTAGCCACTCTGACAGCCTCTCTTTTAGCCACTCTGTTAGCCAGTCTGACAGCTTCTCTGTTAGCCACTCTGACAGCCTCTCTTTTAGCCTCTCTGACAGCTTCTCTGACAGCTTCTCTGTTAGCCACTCTGTTAGCCAGTCTGACAGCTTCTCTGTAAGCCACTCTGACAGCCACTCTGTTAGCCTCTCTGACAGCTTCTCTGACAGCTTCTCTGTTAGCCACTCTGTTAGCCAGTCTGACAGCTTCTCTGTTAGCCACTCTGACAGCCTCTCTGTTAGCCACTCTGTTAGCCTCTCTGTTAGCCACTCTGTTAGCCTCTCTGTTAGCCACTCTGACAGCCTCTCTGTTAGCCACTCTGACAGCCTCTCTTTTAGCCACTCTGTTAGCCACTCTGACAGCCTCTCTTTTAGCCACTCTGTTAGCCACTCTGACAGCCTCTCTGTTAGCCTCTGTTAGCCACTCTGTTAGCCTCTCTGTTAGCCACTCTGTTAGCCACTCTGTTAGCCTCTCTGTTAGCCACTCTGTTAGCCTCTCTGTTAGTCACTCTGTTAGCCACTCTGACAGCCTCTCTGTTAGTCACTCTGTTAGCCACTCTGACAGCCTCTCTTTTAGCCACTCTGTTAGCCACTCTGACAGCCTCTCTGTTAGCCACTCTGACAGCCTCTCTGTTAGCCACTCTGTTAGCCACTCTGTTAGCCACTCTGTTAGCCTCTCTGTTAGCCTCTCTGTTAGCCACTCTGACAGCCTCTCTGTTAGCCACTCTGTTAGCCTCTCTGTTAGCCTCTCTGTTAGCCACTCTGTTAGCCTCTATGTTAGCCACTCTATTAGCCTCTCTGTTAGCCTCTCTGTTAGCCACTCTGACAGCCTCTATTAGCCTCTCTGTTAGCCTCTCTGTTAGCCACTCTGTTAGCCACTCTGTTAGCCTCTCTTTTAGCCTCTCTGACAGCTTCTCTGACAGCTTCTCTGTTAGCAACTCTGTTAGCCAGTCTGACAGCTTCTCTGTTAGCCACTCTGACAGCCACTCTGTTAGCCTCTCTGACAGCTTCTCTGACAGCCACTCTGTTAGCCAGTCTGACAGCTTCTCTGTTAGCCACTCTGACAGCCTCTCTGTTAGCCACTCTGTTAGCCTCTCTGTTAGCCACTCTGACAGCCTCTCTTTTAGCCACTCTGTTAGCCACTCTGACAGCCTCTCTGTTAGCCTCTATGTTAGCCTCTCTGTTAGCCACTCTGTTAGCCACTCTGTTAGCCTCTCTGTTAGCCACTCTGTTAGCCTCTCTTTTAGCCACTCTGACAGCCTCTCTGACAGCCTCTCTGTTAGCCCCTCTGTTAGCCTCTATGTTAGCCACTCTATTAGCCTCTCTGTTAGCCTCTCTGTTAGCCACTCTGACAGCCTCTCTGACAGCCTCTCTGTTAGCCTCTCTGTTAGCCACTCTGTTAGCCTCTATGTTAGCCACTCTATTAGCCTCTCTGTTAGCCTCTCTGTTAGCCACTCTGACAGCCTCTATTAGCCTCTCTGTTAGCCTCTCTGTTAGCCACTCTGTTAGCCACTCTGTTAGCCTCTCTTTTAGCCTCTCTGACAGCTTCTCTGACAGCTTCTCTGTTAGCAACTCTGTTAGCCAGTCTGACAGCTTCTCTGTTAGCCACTCTGACAGCCACTCTGTTAGCCTCTCTGACAGCTTCTCTGACAGCCACTCTGTTAGCCAGTCTGACAGCTTCTCTGTTAGCCACTCTGACAGCCTCTCTGTTAGCCACTCTGTTAGCCTCTCTGTTAGCCACTCTGACAGCCTCTCTTTTAGCCACTCTGTTAGCCACTCTGACAGCCTCTCTGTTAGCCTCTATGTTAGCCTCTCTGTTAGCCACTCTGTTAGCCTCTCTGTTAGCCACTCTGTTAGCCTCTCTTTTAGCCACTCTGACAGCCTCTCTGACAGCCTCTCTGTTAGCCCCTCTGTTAGCCTCTATGTTAGCCACTCTATTAGCCTCTCTGTTAGCCTCTCTGTTAGCCACTCTGACAGCCTCTATTAGCCTCTCTGTTAGCCTCTCTGTTAGCCACTCTGTTAGCCACTCTGTTAGCCACTCTGACAGCCACTCTGTTAGCCTCTCTGACAGCTTCTCTGACAGCTTCTCTGTTAGCCACTCTGTTAGCCAGTCTGACAGCTTCTCTGTTAGCCACTCTGACAGCCTCTCTGTTAGCCACTCTGTTAGCCTCTCTGTTAGCCACTCTGTTAGCCTCTCTGTTAGCCACTCTGACAGCCTCTCTGTTAGCCACTCTGACAGCCTCTCTGTTAGCCACTCTGACAGCCTCTCTTTTAGCCACTCTGTTAGCCACTCTGACAGCCTCTCTTTTAGCCACTCTGTTAGCCACTCTGACAGCCTCTCTTTTAGCCTCTGTTAGCCACTCTGTTAGCCTCTCTGTTAGCCACTCTGTTAGCCACTCTGTTAGCCTCTCTGTTAGCCACTCTGTTAGCCTCTCTGTTAGTCACTCTGTTAGCCACTCTGACAGCCTCTCTGTTAGTCACTCTGTTAGCCACTCTGACAGCCTCTCTTTTAGCCACTCTGTTAGCCACTCTGACAGCCTCTCTGTTAGCCACTCTGACAGCCTCTCTGTTAGCCACTCTGTTAGCCACTCTGTTAGCCACTCTGTTAGCCTCTCTGTTAGCCTCTCTGTTAGCCACTCTGACAGCCTCTCTGTTAGCCACTCTGTTAGCCTCTCTGTTAGCCTCTCTGTTAGCCACTCTGTTAGCCACTCTGTTAGCCACTCTGTTAGCCACTCTGTTAGCCTCTCTGTTAGCCTCTCTGTTAGCCACTCTGACAGCCTCTCTGACAGCCTCTCTGTTAGCCTCTCTGTTAGCCACTCTGTTAGCCTCTATGTTAGCCACTCTATTAGCCTCTCTGTTAGCCTCTCTGTTAGCCACTCTGACAGCCTCTATTAGCCTCTCTGTTAGCCTCTCTGTTAGCCACTCTGTTAGCCACTCTGTTAGCCTCTCTTTTAGCCTCTCTGACAGCTTCTCTGACAGCTTCTCTGTTAGCAACTCTGTTAGCCAGTCTGACAGCTTCTCTGTTAGCCACTCTGACAGCCACTCTGTTAGCCTCTCTGACAGCTTCTCTGACAGCCACTCTGTTAGCCAGTCTGACAGCTTCTCTGTTAGCCACTCTGACAGCCTCTCTGTTAGCCACTCTGTTAGCCTCTCTGTTAGCCACTCTGACAGCCTCTCTTTTAGCCACTCTGTTAGCCACTCTGACAGCCTCTCTGTTAGCCTCTATGTTAGCCTCTCTGTTAGCCACTCTGTTAGCCACTCTGTTAGCCTCTCTGTTAGCCACTCTGTTAGCCTCTCTTTTAGCCACTCTGACAGCCTCTCTGACAGCCTCTCTGTTAGCCCCTCTGTTAGCCTCTATGTTAGCCACTCTATTAGCCTCTCTGTTAGCCTCTCTGTTAGCCACTCTGACAGCCTCTATTAGCCTCTCTGTTAGCCTCTCTGTTAGCCACTCTGTTAGCCACTCTGTTAGCCACTCTGACAGCCACTCTGTTAGCCTCTCTGACAGCTTCTCTGACAGCTTCTCTGTTAGCCACTCTGTTAGCCAGTCTGACAGCTTCTCTGTTAGCCACTCTGACAGCCTCTCTGTTAGCCACTCTGTTAGCCTCTCTGTTAGCCACTCTGTTAGCCTCTCTGTTAGCCACTCTGACAGCCTCTCTGTTAGCCACTCTGACAGCC